CCAAGAGTTTTCTAGCTGTTACCTTTCTGATTCTCCCCCACATCACTGGTGGGGAGTGAGCGAGCAGCTGCCTGGGGTTACACCATGACATGGGGCACCAGAGACCATGCTGAGAACAAGTCTCATTGAATTTCCATCAGCCCAACACCGAACACAGATTCAGGCTCACGACCCCATGCTGTCCCAGCACAGTCCTTGCTGCTGTGCTGCCTAGGATGAAGGGCAAAGGGGCAGCAGTGAGGACTGCAGGCAGCAGGTTGTCACCTGGCTCCAGAAAGCAGCTACAAAACACAAGCAGCATCAGAGAGAGCAGTCAAGGAGCTTTTATTCCTGAGGAAATGAAGAGCCAAAATGAAAATGAAGCAAGCCTGAATCCTACCCAGCACATGCAGGAAAAGCTGTTCAACAGCTTGTAAGGAGTGGCAACCAGAAAGAGTTCATGCCCTGGAGAGCATTACCACAACCAGAGTTGACTCCAATTCCAAGAGTCATTCCTGTGTTCTTGGCATAGGAGGAAGCTCATGGCTACCTTGTCTCTGTCATCCTTCTCCCTGGGAGAGTCCCATTCAAAGGTCTTTCAGTCCTACCTTCACCAAGACCCTACACCAGACCTGCTCTCTCCCTCTGAACTCTTCAGGCAAAGGCCTGGTAAGTGCCAAGTGTTGTCAAGCCAGGACATGGATGGTTATGTATGTCCCTGTCTGCCAGAATCATCTTCAGTGGAAAGAGCTGATTTCAGCTGCCATGTCTGTGGGGACAGCCCCAGCAGATCTTCTTTTCCCACTCTCCCATGCCAGTCCCACGATGAATATTTTTTTTCACAAAGTTATAACTGTCCTTCAAGGACTTTGTCTAATTTAATTGGTTGGTCACTTGGTTTCTTTGCATGTCATGGTATGCAACATGAAATGAGACTCTCAAAGAACATCCAGTTCTGCAGGTCTCTCACTCTGAAGGTTGCTTCTGCACCTGCAGAGTTTCATTAAACTTTCTGGTGCAGTCTCCATTCCTGCCATAATCACTGTGTCTTTGAGTAGTCCTGTACTGAAGAGCAGTTATCCATTGATGATCTTCTCACTGATGTATCCAGGCATGGTGTAAATCAAAAGAACCAGGAAGATAGTCAGAACAGTGACAATGAACAGCACAATTATGTATTTCTTGTACCTCTTCCAGATAAAAAACACAAAGGTCTTCATGGGATTCACAAACCAGTTGAAAGAAGTTTTGGGCCGGCTAGAAGAGGAAGGAAAGAACAGATAAGCACAGACTCAAATCCACAGAGCAGCACATCTGCTTTGGTGTCCTGCTACCCTCACAAATCACCACCATTTCCTGCTGCTCTCAGACAGGACCACCCCAGGGGCTGCAGCAGCTGCAGTAGTGGTGGGAATGCTGGAGACAGTGGATGGGGCTCTCAGACAGCCCCACAGAGCTGTCCTGCACCCGCGTGGCCAACGGGTTCCTTCACACGGACAGAGCTGCCCACTGAACAAGCAATGTACACATTGCACAGCTGCCCTGAGCATCTCCCTGGGATCAGCCCTGGGCCAGGTGCTATACCCACAAGGCCTGTGCACCCACTCGGGCTCTGGGCAGCCCTAGTATTCCCTGTCCTGCAGAACCCACTGCCCAGGGCCTCAGTGATTGCTCCCAGCTTCCTGAGAAGCAGATGCTCCTGGTCCAATCCAAACAGCTGCTGAGAACACAGCACTGTCCATCCATGCTACAGGTGCTAATACTCACTTGGGCTTTTCCAGGGGTTCAGGCTCCTTTCGACCCAAGCCAACAGGACTTTTCTCAGCCTCCTCCACAGTCAGCAGCTGGAACTCTGCTTCCACCTTACCCTGGAGGGGGAACATGCCTGAGCCACAGTCATGTGTTGCTTCATAGACCAACCTGCTGACCACACACCCTGCCACAACTGGGTTTTTTTCTCCCAGTTCCACTTACAGCTGCTCAGATCTTTTTTCTTCGTTACCTACAGAGTCTTAATTCACAGCTAGTGGAAACTGTGGTCTGGCCAGAAACAGTTTTGCAGACAAGGAATTGTATTGTAATGCACTTCCCAGCTATCTGGATATGTCTGCAGCCTCCCACAGTGGCACTGAGCAAAACTCACCCTTGGGGACACACAACGGTTCACTGTCAGAGCCATCAGGAGTGTGCCCTGGGTCACTTGGTACATGCCTCTCTGGGGCAGGCAGAGAGCCCAGGACAGGCTTTTACTGCTGTCCTAGCTGGCTGACAGGGAGCAAAGAGGCACATGGCTTCCTATCCCTGGTTCTGGTCAGGACAGTGTTAATTTTTGCAGCAGCCAGGAGGAGCGGCAGGACCCTGGGGTTATTCCACACCACCTCACAACATTCAACATTTGAAGGGGGTGGAGTGGGGAGGAGTTTTTCCAGAGGTGTGCAGGGTGTGCTAGTTCCCCGGGGTGAGCAATTGGGTGTGAATCATTCACCTGTCTTTACACTCTGTTATTAGTATTGTTGTTGATACTGTTTGTTTTCTTATTTCACTGCTGTTTCTAGCAAACTGTTCTTATCTCAACCCATGATCTTTACCTTTTGTGCCTTTGGTTCTCCTCTCCATCCCACCTCAGGGGGAGGACAGAGGAGTCAGCAAGCAATGCATGGTCTGGCGTGTTTCAGTGGGAACACTAAAGTGGAGAATACCACTCCCAAACCAGGACAGCTTTCCACGGAGCACTGCTCTATGGGAAGCTCAGAGGAAGACATGGACACCCCTGCATGCCACTGCAACTGGCACTTCTGGATAGAACAAGTGTTGGATTTGCAGCAGATGGAAGAAGTCTTCCAGACCCTGCACAAGCTGGGTCTCTGCTGCCTTTGTAGATGATGTACATGCAGGACAGGTTGCCATGTCAAGGCAGAGGCAAAACACTGGCTCTGCCCACCAGTGCCAGCACCTCACCTTACCGTCAGCAGGTACTTGTTCCCACTGGAGTCTGTGAATTCCACGTCCTCTGGTTTGACTGAGCTGCTCCACTTCTTTTTCTTCTTCTTCTTCTTCTTGTACTCCCCCTCCTCTCTTTCCTCATCTTCTTTGAGTTTGATGAAGGGCCACCAGCCCCTCGTGCGCTTGTTTCGGAAGATGGAGAAGCGAGGTGTTGCGTTCTCCTTGGCCATCTTGATGGTGCAATGCTCAGAGCTCTTGGCTGCCCTCACCATGTCATGCAGCTTCAGCTCGATGGAGCCTGCAGGCACAGTGGGGAGGAGAGAGCTCATGGTGAAACCCCTGAGGTCAGCCCCACATGACATTTGGCTTTGTCTCTGCCCTGCTCCCACCACCACGAGTGGTCCCAGCTGCTGCAATAATCTAGCACAGTCCTGCACATTTACATGTGGAGAACCTGAAGCTCAGCATAAGAAAGGATTAGCTCAAGAGTTACAGACCAGGAAGCAGAAGCCCTGGGTCTCATCCCACCTCTGATGTGGCCAGTTTGGTGTGCATGTGGTACAGCTTAAGTACATTTCCCTGTTTGGCCTTGTGCCCCTGTTTTGCCTGGAACGAGCTCCTGTCCCACTTTGGCACTGAGCCCTTGCAACAAATCAGTCTTATCAGGTCCTGGTCTGTACTGGAAAAAGCAGCCAAGGGATGTGGGTGTTCTCTGCTCAGCTCCATTGAGACTACAGCTGGATACAGTGCCCACTTTTGGGCCCCTAACACCAGAAAAATGTCAACTAACTAGAGAGAGTCCCGTGGTTGAGACAGTTAAGGCTGGAGTATGCGCCACAGGAGGGGTGAGAGACACGTGCATGTTCATCCCACATCAGAGGGATCAAGAGGGAGATCTTACTGCCTCTCCCACAGCCTAAAGAAAGCTATAGAGCAGATGGAGATAGACTCTTCGCAGAGATGGATAATTAAAGCACATAAGGTAATGCACACACAATGCTGCAAGTAAAAAAAAAGAGACTTGTGAGAATAGTGCAGCCAGGAAAAGAGGCCCAGGAGGGTGCTGGGGCTTTCATGCTTGGAGGTACTCAAAACTCACCCACACAATGTCCTGAGCAACATTGCATTTAGCCCTGCTTGGGGCAGGAGGTTGCAATAAGCACTGCAGAAGCCCCATCCTGACTAGGACTTCCTGAGATTGTGCATGCCAGTAATTGTTGGCATTGCTGTCTAATGCTTTCTTCATGGCCTGAGTAGCATTGTTGAAGCACTAGAAGTACCTCACGGAGGCAAAGCCCCTTAAATACACTATGGAATGTTGAAGAATAAAGAGTTTTAACCTGCCCAAGAGACACTAGGGCAGAGGGGCAGCTTTTTAATGGGGAGGCTGCAATTTCGAGAAGGAAAGGACGACTGAGCAGAGTGCTACAAACTTGTGGATGACATCAGAAATGGGAGAGACTCAGCAGCATTTGCATTAGCATAGTGTGGGTGGAATCACCACTAGCCCAGCTTCATCAGCAGGCCTTGCTGCATGCCCAGCTCAGTAGGTCTGACTGCTGCAAAGTACCAGAGCAGCCAGGGAAGCTCTGAGCCCCTGGTGATGGGATGCTGCAACTCAGGCACCAATAATCACAGAAAGGTTGTCAGTCCCTGTGTCTACAACATGAGCTCCTGGGAAAACTGCTCCTTGGCCCAGGCTTTGGATTCTGCAGATCTAAGTAAGAGCAGGGAAGTTAAGCAAGTTTATCAGAGAGGTTGTGAGGAAGCAGAACCTGGAAGTCCTGTGGCATGACAGACCCTGACAGAGGACACCAAGGCCCTGGGTCAAGCATGCAAGCACTACGTGTCTGTGTAGGAAAGGTGCATATCTCCAGGCTCTGCCTATAGCTCACATGTGGAAAACCAGCCCAGGTGACTTCTGAGCTAAAGAGCTTGATCTGATGCTCCTGGTGTCCCTTCTTAGAGAGCTGAATGCCAGGGAAAATGCTGTAATACTCCAGCAAAGTGAAGGACAGGTCACCAACTTCCAGCGGGTCACACCATACCTAGAAAGTCATTAGCTGAAATCCTGTCGTAATCCCAGACCTGGAGGACCAGAACAGCTGGCTCCCGGAACTCCGATTCCTCCACAGAGAAGACAGAGTCCTTCTTCTTGTAAGTGATCTCCTTCTCGGTTGGGAGGTAGTTGAAGCGAAAGATGAACCTCCAGTTGAAATTGCCCTCCCCAGTCAAGGAGTTAAAGTGAACATCCGTCTCCTGCTTGTCATGGTCAAGACCCTTTATCCAGCTGCAGGAGAAACTCAGTTACCTTCCACCCCTGTCAGCCAGCCCCAAATGCAGAGTAGAAAGATGGAAGGGCTGAACTTCATGGGGTAGCAGGAAAGGAAAGGGACAAAGAGCCAAACCAGAGTGACACCTAACCAACATCTCTGGGGGTGCAGCAGTCCATGCAGAGGACTGGAGTGGGCACCTCATTCTGAGGCAGAGAAAAGCAGAGGCTCAGAGGAGGCAGTGAGGGTGTGGGCCGGGGCAAGGAACAGGGCAGCCAGGCCCTGGCTCCCATCAGACCTTTTCACATAGATGTCACTGGAAGGCTCTCCCGTCACTGGGTTGACATCGTCAAGGATCACATCATCCGTATTCCAGATAATCACGCGCAGCTCATAGCTGTGGGAAGGACACAGGGTGAGACATGTCCGGTGCCTGGGAGAGCAGGTCAAGCCCACAACAGCAGAGCAGCAGGACTTGAACCCTCCTAGCACTGGTCCCCTGTCAGGACTCCTCTGGCCAAGTACAGCCCAGTGGTCTCACTGCCAGGCACAAAAATCTTCCTGGGCACTATACCCACAGCCAAAACAGGCAGCTTTTGCAGAGCAAGTTGCTGGTGTGTGGGGAAACACACCCAGCACTGCTAAGCCATAGGAGCACAGAAAGGGTTAGGCAGGCAGGGACCTCTGCAGTCTCTGCTCCCAGCTCTTGCTCAACTTCATAGTAGGCCAGGTTGCTTGGGGCCTTGTCTGCATGAGTTTTTAATATCACCAAGGATGGATATCCCAGCACATATCTCTGGGTCCCTCTTTCTCTGTCCCAGGGTAGCCTCACTCTCACTGGGAAAATGTTTTCACTATAACCAGTTGAAGTTTCCCTTGCTACAGTTTGTGTCCATTATCTCTTGTCCTTCCAGGTGCACCTCTGAGAAGAATCTGGACCCTCCACCTCAACAGCCTCATTAGATCCTTGAAAACAGCAGATTTTCTCATTCAACTTCAATTCTCCAGGCTCCCAGATGACATGTGTGCACTAGCCAAAATAGAGCCTGATGAGTAGCTCTGACCTGGGTTTCTATCACCTTCATGTCCAGTCCCAGAGACATTAATGTGCCCTTCCCAAACCCTTGTGCAGCTGAAGTGTCCATGGCCAATGCTGATACACTCCAGAGACCCTCTCATGGTCAGAGCTGCAGCAGAGAGGAGGTTGCATGCTGGGCTAGCACAGACCCTCAGCCTGTGCAGGACCCTGTGGCACATCCCACTGCCCACGGGGAGGGACAGTGACCCTCCACACAGGCTCCCCAGCCCCACTCCCACAGGCACTACCTGACAGGCAGTCGTGGCTTGATGTTGACAGGTGGTGGTGCAGGGACATCATTTGGAAACATGTCAATCCACATGTGCAAGGAGCCCTGATCAGAGAAGATAGTAGAGACTTCAAAAGGCAGACTATACCCTCCAGTTCCTCAAGGAGCAAAGGCTCGCAAGGAAAGCTTTCACCAGAAAGCCACTGCTTGTTTCTCTCCATTCCCAGCACTTTAGAGTGACACATGATCAGATTTTAGACAGGGAAAAATTAAAGCTACCAAAAATTGCTTCTTTCTGCTCCCAAGAAGCATTTCACCCACACTGAGTCCATTTCAAACAGAGGCAAACATGTTCCTCTGTCTTAATAAGAAGCATATGGTGATGCAACTCTTAAGCCAAACCAAGAAAACTAAAAGCTGATGTGTCTGACTCTGCCCTACTCACACGCATTTCCAACAGCTAGCATGACTGCAGAGCTCTGCCTTGTTCAGACCTCCAGTACCTGAAGAAACTGGAGATGTTCTGTGCAGGACATTAAAATGGTGAGTTCAGATGACTGCACTGCACAAAACTGGGGATGAATGTTTCTCCTCCAGCCAGCAGTTACATCATGCCCCAGGGAGAAGCCAAGGGGGCAGAACCAGGTTTTTGCATTGGGGCAAAACAGCAGTGATAAGGGACACTGAAGAGGAGGAGGTAGGGATAGGCAAGGACACCACCATCCACTGAGGTGCATGGTAGCAGGGCTCAGAAGGCAGAGCAGGTCTATTGCCACCCTCATAGCATCCTCATCAGAGCAGGGCTACACAGCCTGAGGACACAGAAAGGACTCTGGGTCACCAGCACTGTGAACACGACATCAATGGACAGAGGTTCCTTGAGGAAAGGGTGTTCAGAAGCACCATGAGAGGTCAGAGGGTGGACCTAAGCAAAGGACAGCCAAGACCAACAGTCTTCACTTCATAGCAGTGCCAGCTATCCACAGACAGTTCCTGTCACGCACCCAGGACGGGGCTATGCGGAGGATTCGTGCCATAATGAGGAGACAAAAGGGCAACAAGAGGCCAGTCAGGGGGCTGGGAACCAGCTGCCCAGCAGGTCCTTCCCCAGAACGATGTCTAGGCTTGGCATGAAAACACATCTCACCTGTGCAAGCCCAGGGTTCCCCGGGTTGTACAAAGACCGGATCTCCACATGCTCTGGCACCAGCTTGTACCCATACCCTGGCATCTCCTCCCAGTGCTGCAGGACATACAAAGCCTTGTGTTCATCGTCCACTGACCAGTCCTCATCTGCCACTCCTCTCGTGTTCCTCACAGAGGCCTCTGCAGCAGGACACAGCCAGGGAAGAGATGAATGCATCTGACCAGCAAGAGTCATGTCAGGATATTAGTCACCAGCACAAGGAACAGAAGATGACAGACTGGACAAACAAGCACCTCCCCAGAGAAACAAACGGGGAGAAGCAGGAGGGCAAGGATAAAGGGAATGAGTTCAACATGCTGCAGTGATGAGAGAAATAGTAGGCAGGAAGACAAACAAGCAAAAATAAATAACAAGGAAAAGGGCAAAAAAGAATTTACTATGGTCCTGGGAAAAAGATCCAGGGCACATTGAGGAGGATGTGACCCTCCAGGGAGTTTAAGTTCCCACATTTCTGTGGTAGTGCCAAAACATCCATGGATGAGTTTTTGCCACAGAAGTGCTCCAGGAATCATTATTCATCACTTGGCAGGACACAGAGCTGTCTGTTAATGAACACTTTGTACGATCCATTGAGTCACTTGGAACAGTGAAGCCAAATGGCAGTTTAAGACCAAATCCTGCTGGTGGGTGAAAAGCAGGAACCAACAGGTGAGGGCACAATGACCCACCCACGCCTGGGTTTATGGAAAGCATCTGCCCTTTAGGGATCAGTCTGAGACCTAAACCATCCCAAGCAGGACTTGAGCACAGCAGAGGTTCATGGGGCACCAGCTGCAGCCACATTCAACCAGAACCAGCTCTAAGGGAACACCAGGAAAGGATCTAATTTCTCCCTCCCCAGCTACCCAGTGACCTGAGAAAAGGGGAAAAGAGATTTTGGAGGCTCCTTGCCCTCTCCTGAGCAGGATTTCTTTCCCATTCTTTGCACAAGCCATAGAGACCAGCGGAAAACCAAGGAACAGCTGCACTGAAACAAGCAGAAAGTAAAGTTGGCCATATATATCTATTCATACAATTGAATCCAGTCCCTGCTCCAGGATGGATTCAATTGCACAGGTTCAGCCACAGCAGGGCAGGCTTGTACTCAGGGAAGGCCTGTTCTCCATCACTGCTGGTGATGAGTGTTCTTGGACATCTGTGGCCCTGGCACAGGGTTTATAATACCAGTTCAAAGGAAAGAAAAACAACACAGGAGAAGCAGAAGCTGTCCACAAGGTGATCAGCACCCAAAGCCACTGGCAGCAGAGTGGGCATCCCAGAAAGCATCCCTGAACAAAGCCAGCTGAAAATAGGAGACCGAAAAAGCATCTCCCCTCAAAAAAACAACCAACCCCACAACGATAAAAAAGGACTTCAGTATCTTGTTGATACCGATCACAAGCAGATGGAGGTACAGCTTTGTGCCAGTGTCAGCCATCAGAATACCATCAACCCCCCCATGGCCATCAGAGCCATGCAAACAGGTTTCCTTTGCTCTTTGTGGTGACCTAAAATGCTGGGTGATGCAGGGCACAGCGTGGGGGAGCCAGAGAGACTGGTGGGCTCCCACACCCCACCAGCATGTGCACTGCTGAGCACAGGCAGCTGTTTAAGGGAGCAGCATTTGTTCATCAAACCCTCTGTACCTTCAGGAAAAGCCTCTGGAGGAACCTTGAATATTTTGTTGTCCACTTTGACCTCCTCCCGTCTGTACTCTGCAGCAGGGAGTGAGTTTTTCTTGCATAAACTATCCAAGATCTGTGTGGGTTTGAAAGCATCTCGCCACATGTTGTAGCCGTTTCTGCATGGAAGGGAAAGCATTGAGAACTTCTTCAGCTTACACAGAACAGGTTTCTTTCCTAGTCTGTGAAACACACTCCCTTCCTACAGCACAGGCTGTGCCACCAGAGTACTGCTCAGGTTTTCCCTGCTCACTGGCAAAAATCACAGCACACAAAATCTTAATGAATTAAAAGCTTAACAGGCTCTGCCCAAAACAAGCCTGACCTGAACTGCACAGGATCATTGCTCCTGTTGCTTCAGAGCAGCAGCAGGAGCGATTCCAGCTGCAGTTCCTAAGTAGGAAAGAGGTTTTAGCTGTGCTGGGGTCTCAACTCCATGACCACAGCAGTAGCAGGGTAGGAGAAGAATAGTTTACAGAAAACTGGACAAAGACACCAGAGAATCCATACAGAATTGAAGCCAGAGGAAATCAGATGCCCTGAGTGTCACTGCCTCACAAAATCAGCTACTGCCAGAGAAAAAAGCTATGCTTTCTGAAAGAGGTCAGTGCCACGTGAGCACTTCTCTCAGAAAACGCCAATATGAAAGCATTAAAGAGGTTTCTGCTATTTTATGCAAAGTATATTAGTGTACAGTAGGAGTTAGACCTATCACAGGAAGCTGGTGGGAGTCTAAAGGAGATGGCATTACCCATGTAACTTTTAGTGAATCTGTGGAGCACCTGATCAAAGGACACTGCAGATACATGTTCTGTCCTGCAGAACAGGAGGGGCTCTGTCACCTACACGCAGCAGGTGAGAAGAACAAGTCTCATGGCCCTAATACGTCACACCAGTACCTACACATCATACTGAGCAGCCACTCCACAGTTGGCTCTGTGCTTGCTGTAGAATCGATTCTCCAAATCAATCTTGGTCTCTCCAATCAGATCATCAGATCCAACCAAATCATGATCAAATATTGCCACAGTGAGTTCTGATTCCGTGGGGAAGGAGACTGTCAGCTCCACAACTCTGGACAAACGCAAACAGGGAAAGTGCAATTAGCTAAGAGGTGGAAATGAAACATATGCTCTGCTTTGATCATCCTGCACATTTAAGAATTGTATTGGCAACTCAAAGACCTCTGGTAGAGTTTGGTTCTCCATAAGTTCAGTGTGTGCAATTTTCAGTGTGCATGTTCAAACAAAGAAATTATTCCTCCAGGAATGTACGCCCTTGGGTAGAGGGCCTGGAGCTAGGGAAAAAAAGTTCTCCAATGCTCTGTTGTTGCTTGGCTTTCTACTTTTAAATCACTCCCTTGGGAGTGCTCCCCTCCTAACCCAAAATATGATGGTTCCTGAGTTAGCTGGGGGCAAGACATGTGCCCAGAACCTTTGTGTTACAGTACAAGATTCTCCATCAGAAAGGAACAGAAGACAGTGCATGCTGGACCACATTCCAAGCCCCAGATTTGCACTGTTCCTATTAAACCTGTAGATGAAAACTTCCTGCATACTCTCCAAACACAGGATTGAGCTGCTTCGGGATGTATCGCTCCTTTGTGTCCTTCTGCTCCCGCCCCACAGACACCACCACGTAGGGATCTGCCTTGCCATTGGGGTCTGCTGGGGACAGGTTCGTAGCCTGGAATACACAAGAGCACACAGCTGTAGAGAGCAACCTGCACAAGGAACACTGCACAGGCCTGAGACCACCTGAGCCCACTTGGTCAGGCCCCCCCAGCAACTGCTCCAGTTGTAGTGAAACAGTCATTTGTTCCCACACTCAACAAGCCACTGATGATTCTGGATGTCAGGCCACCTACTTGCTTGTGGTCTCAAGGCAGAGGTGAGGAGCCAAGAAATGCCCATCCAGGCTTTTAGCATCTCCTGAAGCTACAAAGCATGTAAGAATCTCCACGGACAGGATGTAGTTGACTTCTCTTGGGCTGGCAGAGGCTTCAAGCCAGCATCATGTTTTTCATAAGTGCCACTGCTCATATTTACTGAGCACAGAATGGCAGGAGGTCCATAGG